GAAGGAACTCGAGTCAGAAGCATTGTTATTGATCATGTTCTACATCTGAAAAGGAAAAGAACAGAGTTTAATAAGAAATGAATCCCTAATTAAACACCCAAATGAAAAATTAGGGTTAGGATCCACCAACATTATTTACAAATTAGAAAAGGGATGTCGTAATCTAACAAGTAAATAATTTGAAGGTAAGTGAATGACGATTCACTAATTCTCCACCATGAAAAACGAAAAAGATATTAAGTTTTAAACGTATTGAAAACTCCTAGATCTTTTGAGATTCATTGAACTTTTGAATGGCATGTTTAAATCTCGATATACCCCTCTAGTTTGTGACTGGGATGCCGAGGATCACAAAGCGGGTGTGAATAACCATGCAAATATACATGGTGCCCTCATTGTTACAGTAACCTATTCGATGTGCCGGTTAACCACGCACGCTCCATCGAACTATGACAAACAATGAGTCACCCTTTTCCACCTTTTCTTAGAACCAATTAGTATGTTGTTTAACCACACACACTCCACTAACATCTTAGCAATGGTACAAAGTGTAATTTCATGGAATTGCATCAATTCACTTTTGCCTAAAGTAACTAAGATTGGGAATTTTGTAAAAACATTTAGTTACTTTATATAGATTTATTATACTTTTAATGAGGAAAGGTTTGCCCTATCCTACCCATTCGGCTAACAACCCTCCACCAATCAAGGAAGCGGTGGGTGAGAGTGGACACCCCTTTAAACGGCTATTTTATAGGCCATAACCTTATCCCCCCCCCCCCCTCTTATAGATCGGCTTCGTGAATGAGGCCTACTAACGGTAAGGCTAGCATTTTAAGTTATACTTATATATATATATATATATATATATATATATATATATATATATATATATATATATATATATATATATTAATCTTATAATAATATATAGTATAAGGTTGAATTTTAAACTTGTAAAATTCTACGGTTTGAAATTTAAATGGTTCAAATTAAACATTTTAATCATAAAATTTAAATTTCAAAACTTGAGGACAAGTTTTAAACTTTTCAAAACACAAGGGATCAAATAGAAAATAATTTTAAATTAAATATTTAATTTAATGATTATCTAAATTTGACCTAATTAAGATTATTTACAAGATAATTCACCAAATAAATTCAAATAATCAAATATTATTAAATAAGAAATTTATTATTCAAATAATTGCTAATGATCTCTTGTTTTGTTAAGGATATTGATAAAAAGGTAATAATTTGGATTTTATTAGTCTAAAACGATTTAGGTAATTATCTGTAACACCAGTCAAAATAGGTCAAAAACAATCACATGTGATTATGCCAATCATATAATGTGATTTTGTTAAACTAGTAAAGTGAAACTTTCTATATAATTAATGATAAAGTATGAACTTTCATACATAATTTATGATACAACTCAAAGTATACATCCACACGATTCCAAAAATATAGAGAACATCTAAATCCGACTTCACGTGAAGAAGTTATGATAAACCGAACACTATAAATCTCTGTAATAAGAGGAATTTAAAATAGAGTTAGAATTAGCTATTTAAGTCTAAAAGAGAGTTGTAGTGCTCGTAAATACCTACGCGTGCATATAAATAACGTCAAAAACGGAGTTTGTATGCAAAAGTTATGGCATTCTGAAGATTTAGCTTTTAAAAACCCTAAACTAGCTAATTCACGACATGAGTGTTATGACACTCACGACATACTGTCACAATCCGCAATCTAGAAGCTGCGAGAGGATAAGATCCAATTCACGACATGAGCTTTATGACACTCACTACGTGAGGAGTAATTCTGTCATAATTCGGAATCTAGAAGCTGCGAGAGGATAAGATCCATTTCACGACATAATTTTTATGACACTCACAACGTGAGGAGTAATTCTGTCGTAATCGGAATCTAGAAGCTACGAGAGTTTAGGATCAAAAATTCACGACGTGAGTTTTATGACACTCACGACGTGAGGAGTCAGATGGACACCTTTCGAAGCTAGGGACGCAAATGGCAAGTCTACAGAGTGAATCATGAGACTCACGACGTGAATTTTATGACACTCACGACGTGAGTGTCATAAAAACTTACTATAAATAGCAAGATCGACCCATTCACTTCCTTACACCATTTCCTTTCTTCCTCTCTTACTTGCTGAAGCCCTCTTGCATCTCGAGCCCCAACGAACTCGCACGCTGACTGTTTCGCTTAGATATCATAAAAATCACGCTACTAAGGTGAGTTTCACGGCCCCACTTTTTAATATTTCGGGGGAAAACGCATGCTAGTCATTATATATATGTTATTATTATGTCTATATGATAATATATAGTTATAATAGCCGGGGTATAGTTGTTCTAAATATAATATTTTGAATATATACAACTATTATCAACTTATCGGTATGTTAATATATTAATATAGATCTTGAGTTATACTTAGGATTCTATACATATTTTGAGTGCAATATAGTTCCGAAGTTATATTCGAAAGTTTTATATGTTAAGTTATATAGTATGTTGCCTTTAATAGTTTTATGTCAAGATAAAACTGGATATGTTGTTACCGTTAGCTTTATGTCAAGATAAAACTAGAAACATTATATGTTGTTATTATTGGTTTTAGGTCAAAATAAAACCTGGTTTTTACTTCAAGATATAGTTGTTATACTGCCTAAATGTTATGAAATTAGAAGTAATGTTTAAAAGCATAGTCTAGTAACTTAGGCTTTTAGACATGAAAATGATTTTGTTGTTACAACTATACAATGCCGTCAAAGTCTACCTGAGCTACTGTATTCATCATCTAAGATTGGGGATCTTAGTGAAAGTCCTCTGACCTGTATTCGTTAATCTCGTGTGAGCGAGGAAGTCGTGCATAATTAGTATATGGGTTGACCACCCCACTTGTGATTGTTAGCTACAATCAACCAAAAGCGAGTGATGAACTATCCTTTTATTTTTTTTATTGTTCCGGCATCGATGAAACGTGCGGAAACTACCGCAAGGTGTGATCCTTGTACTACCGCAAGGTGTAATTCTTGTACTACCGCAAGTTGTAATCCTTGTACCACCGCAAGGTGTAATCCTTGTACCACCGCAAGGTGTAATCCTTGTACTACCGCAATGTGTAATCCTTGTAATAATAATAGGAGGTATATGACTAAGTCATACAATCGCAACTACAAACTCATGGTAGCACAAATTTAGAAGCATTATACTTTGTCGATATACAAGTATGAATGTTAAGTATAAGTTTCCCAAAGACTTATACTCTAAGTATAAGAATCTAGTAGGTATATTACTTGTATATTAAGTAGACCACTATACCTATCCTACTTACTCGTATAGAATTGAAATAGATTTATACGTAGCGGTTTTACTCGTATAGAATTGAAATAAGATTTATACGTAGCAATTTTTGTTTGTATGGAATTACAAACACTTATATTTATAGTATATGATACTTATAGGTATATACTTATTTGGTAAGTAAACTTTTATACCTAGGATATACATACTAAACGTTGGAGAGTCAAAATAATACTTTCAAAACTATACTTTTGAACTTGAGAAAAAGTGTTATTTTTATATGGAGTCAAAACATGTGAACTCACCAACTTTATGTTGACGTATTTTAAATTGTATGTGTTTTCAGGAAGTTGATAACTATGATACGAGAAATGACGTTACACTGCCCGGTGTTTCCGCTGACGGCCGGGGTGTGACATTATCCTTAAGCAAAACAGTAAATAATCCCGAAATTCCCTTTGTCTGACTCTCTGACTCACCGAGTCCCCATATGGACACGTCTAGTTCATCCTACTCGTCGATTCCACAATGGGACTCGCCGAGTCAGTCAAGCAGATTGCACAAAAATGATTTTTTTTCAAGAAAGAAGAAAACATATAGCATCAAATAAAATTGAAACCAGACAAAGTTCTAATACCACTGATGGGTTTGAGCCTCAAGAACTTTCCTATGTGCACATGCAAACCCTAATGCTCGGATGTAGGTTTCTCTATTGTACATGCATTCATCCAAGACTTTCTAACCCTAGATCTAATGATAATAATTCGAAATTATAATAACCAAATCAGATCAAGAAGAATACCTTTTGTTGCTTGCTTGAATATCCTTGTCTTTGATGCTTAGAGTCACAAGTGTAACTCCTCTAATGGCTTACAAACACCAACTAGCAAGAGGGTTGTATATGAGAGAGGGAGGAGGCATAGATAATCGGATCTAGGGTTCTTGGAAAAGCAGTGGGCGAAAATTGCATACATAGGGTCCTATTTATACTATGAGCAGCTAGGATTTCAATCAAAACCCTAATGGACAGCTTAAACATTAAGCAGCCCATGGAACCTTTTGGAATAAGGCCATGGATGAAAATATGATGGGCTCCCATCATAATTTCGTTCACCCCTTTGATCCATTGGGTTTCCCAGCCCAAAATTCAACTATCACACATTTAACAGTTTAAGTCCCCTTTTTTCAGTTAATCTCTTTTAATCACCAAATTAATTCCTAATTAATCTATGACTAATATTAATTAAATAATATGATTTCTTTTTTAATATATTATTCTTATAATATATTAATAAACCATAATATCTTCTCTCTCTCCATAAATCACCCTGTCAAGTTGCTATGGTGAAGGCAACCCAAAAGGATCATGCACAACCGGGTCAAGTACTTACCAAATATAGTTACGGGCTTAGACACTAATCCAACAGAAAACCCGTTTACCCACAAATTTATTCTCTCTATCCCTTTTAGATGGAGCATCATAAAGACCAGACAGATACTCGGACCGTAAATGTTCCTGGTTATTTAAAATGAATTGTAAACGATCTACTTCAATACAAGTGTAAGCATCAAACAGATACTGTTGGAAAAGCTGATCCGAGTTAAGAATAAGAGAGTATGTATCCCAACATGCATGAATTTGATAATTATAGTACATGTTTACTGTTAGGCTTCTAAAACTGGTACCTGTATCACCTGTAATTTCAAACGCGGAGACCAATCGTCCTTACTAAACGGGAAAAGCAAAGGATATTGTAACGACATATAACTGGGATGAAGTTTACTCACTCGTTGAGGACAACCAGATTTAGAGTAGACAACAATATCATAGCTGACTGAATTACTATCATCACCGATAACAATACAACCTAAAGTGTCAGGTGTAGGTGAACCGTCTCTACGATCCGGGATGTTACTATACAAACGAACTGCATAAGAATCCATATTCATAACCTTATCCATCTCCTTAGTTGTTTTAAATGTCCTAACATATTCATTGTGATTAGAAAGGGATTCCATTAGAACACGCACAATACCAGCATCGAAATCTCTCCTACCAAGATCATGAACGACCTTTAATCGATTAGAAACCTCAATAGCAGTATCAACAACATACGGCTATGAAAACCTTGGACCTTTAGAGTCATCGGGACATAAAGACCCTATCCAATGACAAACCTGACCTGAAACCTTAAAAACATATGGGGCACGACCACTAATTATATCCTTATCAACAACAACCCCAAAAGATGTCATGGAAAACATACTATTATAACCTCTGATATCATTCAAAAAAACAATGTCTGCATAAAGGTTATAAATTTCAGAAGGAGGTGTTGGTGGAAGAGGAAACACAACAGAACCTTCCTTATAACAATGATTATACTTAGGACAATTGGTTTCATAATGATTTCTAACCCTTTCAACATACCAAAACAGAGCTCCATAAAACCAACAAACACAAACACAATCACCACAGTCATAGTATGTAGGAAGTGCAGCAAAAGCAATAAGTTGGGACCGTTTACTTCTACGCATAGCAGGAGCAGCAGACACAGAGCACTCCCCATACTCAATAATGTTACCTTTACTACCCTTAGGCATATCAACGAACAGGTGAAATGAACAGTATAAAAAAATTCATCGTACCGAAGGAAAACAAATTAAAACCCTAATAGAGGAAATACTAAAAAGCAAAAGAAGAAGAGGCAGAAGAAAATTACTTGGAGAAAAAGAAGAGACAAAATGAAAAAAAGAAGGTCGGTCAAAATAATCAACAAACACCCAATACATGTCACAAGGAAAACACGTAGGAAAATAATATTAGCCAAAGTGGCAGAGAAGACTGCACGTATGAAGACAAAACATTAAAGTAACAAAGGAAAAAAAACAAATAAAATCTATATTTGGGTCAAAGAAAGGAAACATAAAGGAAATACTAGGAGTTGTTGATATATGTTGTTGCCTTGAGTATGTGCTGAGTAGGAGTATCTAGCAGGAATCACTTAGAAAGAGTTCTGTGTCGAGGGATAATCTAGGAGAGATATCTAGATGAGTAAACAGGGAGTCTACTAAGAGAGTAGTCTAATATACGTGAGAGATAGAGTACTTGTGAATTGGAATCCTAGGAGGAGGACTTGGGGTGACTACAGGTTGGTGTGGAAGGTAGTATTGGCCTCGTACTACTAAAAACACTGGATTTGTATGCAACCCAAGTAAGAATCCTTAGGTTACTAAGGAGCATGTAGGGGCGGGAAATCTAGTGTGAGTATGCTCGAGCGAGTCTCTGATGATTTTGTGTTATTTTTCAGAGACATCATGGTGGGTACGCGCCACAACCCCGAGGGCGGTAGTGCCAGTGACGAGGAGATCCGACGGATCATTCATGAGGAGGTGGTCGCAGCTATTCGAGAGGATATACCAGTGATGCTTGGGTCTATTAAGACCACACTGATTGAGACATTTGATGAGCGCTATGTTGTTGTTACTGAGGCTACTGTTGCAGCCACCGCAGCCGTAGCTGCTGCTAGGCCACATAGAGGTGACTCGTTGTTGCTCCGAGAGTTCACAAACATGAAGCCACCAGAGTTTGATGGGATGCAAGATCTGATTGCTACCATGATATGGATCTCTGATATTGAGGGGTGCTTTAATACGTGTTCATGCCCAGATCACTTGAGAGTTCGGTTTGCGCTGAACCAGCTTTGCTTGCGGGCGAAGGACCGGTGGAAGTTTGTGACTACCAGTTTTACTCCTGCAAATCATGTTGCAGTGACATGGGAGAGGTTTACACATCTGTTGTGAGATGAGTATGTTCCCCCGGTAGAGAGGGAACCGTTAGCCCAGGAGTTTATGCCTCTCAAGCAGAAGACAGAAATTGTGACTGAGATCACGAGGATGTTCCATAAAAGGGCGTTGTTTTGCCCTGAGCACATGTCTTTTGAGCAGGCGCTTGTGAGTCGATGTCTGAGCATACTGAGGAGGGATATACGGGAGTTCGTGACGAACTCTTCATACCGGACATTGGCTGAGCTTCCGATCAATGTCAGGCGGAGGGACATTGAGCTAGAGTTACAGACCAGGGAGGAGGGAAAGTCCCAGGGGAGGGACCGGAGACCGGTGCAGTCACATCTAGCGACGAAGCAGGCTCAGATCGCTAATACTAGAGTTAGGGGCCAGAAGGGCCGAACTTGTGGCAAGTACGACAAGAGTCACAAGGGATCATCTCGGGTAGGGATTTGCTACAAATGTGTCAAAGAGGGGCACATGGCGAAGGATTTCCCCAAGGGGTTTGCAGTTTGCTTTCACTACAACAAGTCCGACCATCGGAAGGCCGAGTGCCCTCAGCTCATTTAGGGATCAACCTAGGGTTCCACTCCTGCTTCTTTGCATGCTACTGATAGTCGTTCAGTGAAGGTCGAGGCTCCGAGGGCTCGTGGGAAAGCTTTTCAGCTGACAGCAGAGGAGGTCCGTACAGCACCTGATGTCGTGGTTGGTACGTATTTCCTTATTTATATTATTTTGAGATTTTTTGTGCTTATTCTATGTTGTATATAAGTGCTTTTCTTGTGAATTATGTATCTGCCTTGGTGTTATTTGACTCGGGTGCGATTCGATCCTTCATGTCTTTAGCTTTTAGTCGCCACATCAGAATCCGATGTGAGGCGTTGAGTCAACCTCTGAGGGTTTCTATAGCCGACGAGCATGTGGTTTTCGCTACTAATGTATTCTGAGGATTTGTACTAGAGATTTTTGGTGTTGAGTTCCCGATATACCTGGTACCAATCGCGATGGGTGATGTCTGTGTCATAGTGGGCATGGACTGGTTGAGTCGGCTTGGAGCTATGATCGACTGTGAGCGTCAGATGGTGACCATATGAGACCCTAGTGGGGGAGTGCTTACGGTGTATGGCAAGGGTACCAGATCTGGATCAACTTTCTGCTCTGCTGCCAGGGCAAGACAGATTCTACAGTAGAGATGTATGGTCTTTTTGGCGTACGTGATGGATACACGGGTTTCTACAAAGAGTCCGAGTTCTATCTCTGAGGTTTCGATAGTGTGCGAGTTTCCGAATTTTTTTCCCGAGGAGTTGTCGGGTGTGACTCCCAAGAGGCAGGTGGAGTTCCGGATTGACTTGGTTCCGGGTGTGGCGCCTATTGCTAAGGCACTTTATCGCCTTGCACCACCAGAGATGTAGGAGTTATCCTTACAACTTCAGAAGCTGCTGGGGAATGGTTTCATCAAACTAAGTAGCTTGCCATGGGGAGTACCTATCCTTTTTGTTAAGAAAAAGGATGGTTCACACTGGATGTACATTGGTTACCGGAAGTTGAACAAGCTGACGGTCAAGAACCGTTATCCGCTACCGAGGATCAATGATTTATTCGATCAGTTGCAGGGAGCATCTTAGTTCTCCAAGATTGATTTGAGATCTGGATATCATCATATGAGAGTTTGCAAGGAGAATATCTAGAAGACAGCCTTCAGAACTCGTTATGGATATTACGAGTTTATGGTGATGCCTTTCGGGCTCACCAACGCACCGGCATCGTTCATGGATCTCATGAATCAGGTGTGCAGGCCCATGTTGGATCGATCGGTAATCGTTTTCATCGATGATATTTTGCATTATATCTATGTGATTTATGTTGTGTATTATTCTGAGCTTACTGAGTTAGGACCGGAGGGTCCACCTGAGTTATGGGGTCGGAGAGTTCCACTCAGACACATTGACCGGAGTGTCCTATTGAGTATAGCCATGAGAGGCTAACGAGATGTGTGTGGTATTTTGGGATCCTGGATTTTGTTTTAACAATTAAGAATATGTGTTTTGATAAATTTACATTTTGGGGATTTATGAAATGTATTCATGAGATTCATATGATTTTAAAATGAAAATTTTGTTTGAAAATTTATGGTGTTACACAACCACTACCACAAAACTCTAATGTGTTCAATTAAAAGAACTTTTAGGCCATTCAATTAGAGCCTTAAGTGGCTAAGACAAAGATTTCCATACAGATGAAACCACATGGAAATCGCTTACATAAATAGGGCATACGAAGATGACAGAGATGAAGATTTCCACAAAGTTCACTGTTACATGTCGCGTTTTGATGGAATTTTGAACAACGGCATTGATGAAGCTCATGTCACCGGATATTTACAATCTAGGTTTACTGACACACATCCAGCATACAAACCCACCGACACTACCAACCTTTCTTATCGTCATCGTCGCTCGAGATTTCTCCACCAGATCTCCTGATCACCACCATCTCTCAATTTCTTCACCTCAATTTCTCCGCTAAAGTTTATAAAGTAGGAAGACGAAAGAAAAGGAATGCAGATGGGGTAGGGTAAGTGTTTTTATTTCTTTTTCCTTTTTTAAATAAAAATATAGCCAAAAAAATGTAAAATAAATTAAAAAGAGTAGATAGGTCTTTTTAAGTTGGTCAATGATTGAAATTGAAATCACATGGACCTTCAATGAGTCCAAAAAGATTTAGACTAAACTTGATATTCTATAAACGGGTGCCAAAGATTTGTCTTATAATTGCAATATAAAAGTCCTAATAAGAGTTTCACACTTTCACGTACTACGTTAGGCAAGAACACAACCAAATGCATGCAAATTCACAATTATATTCAATATTTTAATCAAAATTTAAACTATAACTACATATTACATTGAAACTGTCGTAAATTTCACTTCAAAGGTGGAGAGGAACCTAAACTTTATCCACAGCTTGATCAAATTCCCTTTTAACTAATGAGATATGTGCACTTATAAAATATATGATTCCACTTGAGACATCAAAGTTGACCTTATACACATCCTTGCAAAAAATATCATACCTGCAGCAACAAAGTTTAGAAATCAGTAAACTTTTAATGAAAAGTGGTTATTTTCCTCCAAAAGCTCAAATTTTCTTCTCAGGGTTATATCGGTAATTTGACATTACTTGCTCCCTTTGCCTAACGAAAAGTACAACAATTTGCATTTTGGGACTTCCCATGATAGTGTTTTTTTTTAATAAAGGGCATTTTAGGCATTTCATGATTATTCAAATGATTTCCAAAACCAATATGTGGTTACGCAAGATATGAAATAAGGGTGTTCTCTTCTAATGCCAGGAACTTGTTTAACAAGTTGAAACATGATTTACATATTTCACGTTAGTTGATAAAAAAAATGAAATATTTTTGCATAAATTACCATTTAACTGATGGTAGATTAAAAAGAAATAAATAAAACATCATATAATTGGGAACTTTTTGTGGTTTCACCTCTTATACAAAAGTTTCAAACATTTTTCCAATTTAACTATTTTAAAACAATAAAATTCAAAAAATAACCTAACATAAGAGGTTTGAATGGAAAAATTAGTTAAACCTCACAACAAAAAATTACATGTGAAACATCATATATAAGACCAAAAAATAGTCAAATTGGAAAAATATCTCAAACTTTTATGAGAGGTTAAACCTCAAAATTACCCAAAATATAATGGTTTTTCTGTATTTTCCCTAATACAATTTCCAAAAAAAAAAAAAAAACCACTTTGTTGCAGAAACTAATATTTAAAAAAACATTATTAGA